ATCTACTCTTCCAATCCATTAATACAAAGCTGTTTGATTTAGCCTCTGGCAAATTTTTCCTCTGGTAGATTTTAAGGACAAGGGCAAAAAGCAGCCATATCCTTTTCCAAAATATCACAGTAATCATCTCTAGGCCTCTTCCTAATATTCTTCTCCTCTGAAACTTCTTGAGCTGTACCTCCACATACCACATTGCCTTAGCACCGCTGTCTTTCATGATACCCCTAAGCCCAGTTTCAAGTGTTCAGGTGATTTTCTGGACTGAAGTCCCAAGGTCTTTCCTGTTCCTCTGAGAGACAGCATGGTCAGGCCTATCACAAAAATACCCTGCTCCCTAGTACCCACTTCTGTCTCAGCAACTGTTCTATGACTGTGAAGAGAAACAATGACCATGGACACTCAAAAATGAAAGTGTTTAATTGGGGCCTGTTTACAGTTTCAGAAGTGTGGTCCATTACTGTTTTGGCAGGGTGGCATGCAGGCACACATGCTGCTGGAGAAGTGGCTAAGAGTTCTACATTTGGACCTGCAAGAAGCAGTTAGAAAGAGACACTGAGTCTGGTTTGAGCTAGCCCACCCTAGTGACACACTTCTTCAAACCAAGCTACACTTCTTCTAAGAAGGGCACAACTCCTACTTTTTCTTAAGCAGTAACACCACTTATTGACTAAGCATTCTGATATATGAGCCTCTGGGAACCATTTGTATTCAAAGGACAAGAGTAAGGGACACACACTTGTTACTCACATAACAATCAAATATTATATAATAATCTCTCCAAGGGATTTATGCATTAACTACCAGTCTATTCATTTCATATTTCACTGTCAATAGAATAATTTTTTTATCAAGATCACCATTGCCTTCAGTCTAGTTTTAATGTTTCAAGCATCTCGTCTTCATTCTGTTAGCTTGTTCCTTGTGTGCACTACCCAACAATGTGCCATTAAAGCAAACGGCATTGTCCCCATGGCTAATTCAGATATAGTTTTGAAGTCATTCATTAGGACCTCTTTCTATGAACATGGCTATGTTCATTAACATGCTTGATTACATCATGATGTGCTGATAATTATTATTACCAGTAATATGAGCAATGTAACAACATTTAAAATAATATAAAATTAGAATAATATTTGAATACATTAGGAACAGCCTAATTAAACGAAGTCTCCAATCACAAAATTTTTACCAAGTAAAGGATTTTTCTGAACTTTTGAAAAGTCAAGGGTATTGCCGGGCAGTGGTGGTGCACACCTTTAATCCCAGCACTTGGGTGGCAGAGGCAGGCGGATTTCTCAGTTAGATGCCAGCCTGGTCTACAGAGTGAGTTCCAGGACAGCCGGGCTGCACAGAGAAACCCTGTCTTGAAAAATCAAAAAACAAAAAAAAGGTCAAGGATATTAACCCATTCCTCTCTCACCATGATCATGTAATATTCTCAGCTCTACACTTCTAAACTGGACAGGAGTTTGTACTTTGTTTCTAGCTCCCTTCCAACTTTTTAATTTTAATCTATGGCAAAATACAGTGCTTTCTATAGTGACTACCTAAGAATTCAGCAACAAGCAAAACAGCCTTTATTATTCTCTGTTAAAAAAAGTTTCTTCTCCCTTCTTGAATAAACTGGGGAGTTAAGACAACAGTCGATCTTTTACAATTTAGAGAAAGCCTCTAAATTCTTTTGTTCCTTATATCAGATTTTGGTAGCTATCTTGCCAGAAGATATACCATTTTGATATATGAACCAATTATTTGGAATAATAAATACCTGTTTGAAATAGAGTATTTATCTGGATTGCTATTGAACATCAAAGCTTTTACTTTAATATCCATGATTTTTTTTGTTTCCTCATATTATCTGGGAGATTGTATAAACATTTTCTTTAATTTCTTTCATGGACTTTTTTTGTTCTTTCAAGAAGCAAGGTTTTTTTCCATTAATTAATTAATTAATTAATTAATTAATTTATTCATTTTACAGCATGATCACTGCTTCTACCTCCCAAACACTCCCTCACACAGTTCCTCACCTATCTCCACTCCCGTTCTTCTCTGAAAAGGTAGAGCGCCACCACCTCCACCCCAGGTATACACCTCAACCCTGGCATATCAAGTCTCTGCAGTTAGGTGCATCCTCTCTCATTAGGTCCAGAAAAGGCAGCCCAATTAGGGGAGTGGATTCCACAGACAGGCATCAGCTTTAGGGACAGTCCCCACTCCACTTGTCGGGGAAGATACATAGGCCCGGAGCTCCACATCTGCTACATATGTGCCAGGGACCATGGTCCAGTCCGTGTAGGCTCTTTTGTTGGTGGCTCAGTGTCTGAGGGGCTCTAGGGTCCAGGTTAGTTTACTCTGTTGGTCTTGCTGTAGAGTTCCTACCCACCCCTCAAGGCTCTCAGTCTTTCCCGCAGCTAGTTCATATGAGTGCCTGAGCTCTATCCAATATGTTGGCTATGGGTCTTTGCATCTGTTTTAGTCAGCTACTGGGTAGAGCCTCTCAGGGGACAGTTATGCTAGCCTCCTGCCTGAAAACATAAGAGTGACATATTGTTAATAGTGACAGAGATTGATGCTTTCATATGGGATGGGTCTCAAATTGGGCCAGTTATTGGTTGGCCATCCCCTCAGTCTCTGATCCACTTTTGTACCTGCATTTCTATTAGACAATAGAAATTTTGGATCTTGAAGTTTGTGGATGGGCTGTTGTCCTTATCCTTCGACTGGGGGAGCCCTGCCTGGCTATAGGAGGTATCCTCTTCAGATTCCATTTCCCCACTACTAGGATTCTCAGCTAAGGTACCTGCGTTGACTCCCAGGAACCTTCCCCAATATTCTTAGTTGTCAGGGAAATGCAATTCAAAACAACTCTGAGAATCCATCTTACACCTATCCCAATGGCTAAGATAAACAATTCAAGAAACAACATATGTTGGAAAGGATGTGGAGAAAGGGGAACACTCCTCCATTGCTGATGGGAATGCAAACTTGTATAACCACTCAGGTAATCAGTCTGGTAGTTTTTCAGAAAATTAGAAATAGTTCTACTGGAAGACCCAGCTATACTGCTCCTGGGCATATACCCAAAAGATGCTCCATCATACCACAAGGATATATGCTCCACTATGTTCATAGCAGCTTAATTCATAATAGGCAGAATAACCCAGATGTCCCTCAACTGGAGAATGGATACAGAAAATGTGGTTCATTTACACAATGGAATACTATTCAGCTATTAAAAACAAGGACATCATGAATTTTGCAGGCATATGGATTGAACTAGAAAAATCATCCGGAGTAGGTATCCTAGACCCAAAAGGACATGCATAATATCTATTCATTTAATTGTGGCTATTAGCTATACAGTACAGGATATCCACCATACACTCCATAGACCCAAAGAAACTAAAGAAGGAAGTTCCAAGTAAGGATGCTTGAATCTCACTTAAAAGGGGGAATAAAGTAGTTATAGGAGGTTGAGGGAGGGAGAGACCTGGGTGGGAGAGAAAATGAGGAGGGGAATAAAAGGGTTCAGGATCCTGTGTGGGAAGAGACAGGAGAGAGGGCCAGAGAGAAGAATGAACGGAAATCTGCAGCTGGTGGAGTGGGGGTGGGGGCACCTATAAGAGGTGTCAAAGAAGCAAGAGAATTTAATTTACAAATTCTTTTGTCAACATCACAGTGAAAGTTGTTGGTTTTATGAATTAAGTTACATATTTGACAGTTTCATGTATGTATATGATACATCCTTTTCTGTTTTCTTCTCCTTTCTAATGTCTCTCCCAGTTCTATCATCCACCCCCCCACGCCTCTTCTCCCCACGACTCAAGCTCCTAGGTTCATGAGTGTTGGTCTTGCCTTGTGACCCACTCAGTTTAACCAGGACCATCAGTGGCAATATCCAGTGGAGACTGGGTGTCACCCGGGGATGGACACACAACTGCAGGCAAGGTTACCCACTTTCCCTGGATGTATCAGTAGGAAATACTTCATCAGTGAAGGGTGGGAAAGCCCTGCTCCACCCAGGCTTGGCAGTCATTGGGCTAAAACAGCTTGTTCTTTGAAAGATTTTTCTTAATTACTTATTTGAACTTATTAAAGTTATATCTTTTCAAGTGTGTCTGAAAATAATATCTACAAAATCTTCAGTCATTTTCTGCCTCATTCGTTGTTTTTATTTGTTGCCTTTGAAGCTCCTTCTTCTGTTCATGTTACATGTTTCTAAGTCTGTTTTCTCACAAGTTGTTGTCACAGAAGGTCATGTCAACACTCTTGCTGTTGTTCATTTAACAGTTTTTATTTTAATGCTATTTTTAAGGAGCCTCAAAAAATTAGAGCTAAGTATTTGTGTTCTGTTTGTTTCTTGAAGCTGAAGTCGGCCAACTCCTCTTTCTGGTCAATGTTACAACTCAAATGACTTGATTATGAGTTAAATACCATAAGTATCTTCTATAAATCTATTGGCTGCATCATTATGGTCAATTTTAATTATTTATTAAAATGGAGGTGTCAATATTAGGCAATCTATCAATGCAGAAGAAGGTTATGCCTGCTTATTTTTATGTTAAATATTAGGGATATGAGTTCCTCATTCTGGTGAAAAGCCATATGTAGTTTTTCTGCTTTGTTAGAATTACTTTCAGAAAAGAGTTCATATTTCTGTGTAAAATTCTTCATGTTCAATATCATCCACCTATCTAAAATGGCTCTGTAGTATCTTATTGAAAATGAATAGTAAAAACTAGATAAAACCACATTGGTGCGGTTAAAGGTGCCTTCCTGCAGAGTATGCACATTCCGAATTCCATTCAAGGAAGCAGCAGCTGCCATCCAAGATCCTCCTTTTTATTTCATGGTAATGACAAAGCTTCTTATAGAGTAAATCCAAATGTCAATTAAACTGTAGCAAGCCAAGAAAGCTTTAGAAATGTAAGGCCCCAAGATAGTACCGCAGTGTAACCAGAGAAATAATGTGTTCTTCTTTGTGTGTTTTTCAGGTACCCCAAATCCTTGTTTAAGCTGGAAGATAACTGCAACTACATTCATCGTATTGTTTTTCATTTCATGGATCATCTTTGGAGCCATTCTCTACATTCATTTCAGAAATAAAAGGTAAGATAAATGTGTGTGCGTGTGCGTGTGCGTGTGTGTGTGTACATATATTGACCTGATATGACAGAGAAACTAGGTACAATAGAGCTAGGTAGAAGTTTTGTTTTGTTTTGTTTAAATTCCAGGGGTTCTGGACAAATTTATCTAGAAAAGAATAGTGTAGGAAAACTTGTTTCCATGTACTGGACAGTTCCTGTCATTAAATGATTAAAAATTTGACTACTGGCAAGCATTTTATGTTATAGTGAATTGAGTGTACTATCTTTTAAAACAGAATGTTTATTTTTACATTATATGTGTGTTTTACCTGTGTGTTTCTGTGTGCTGTATATGTGTTTGATGCTTGTGGGGCCTGAAGAGGGTGCCTTATAGGACAAGAATGAAGGAGCATTTTAGAGAGATTGCTGTACTAATATGTCTAAAGTCAAGAGGTAGAAAAGAGGAGGAGGGATTAAAGCTATATTCAGGATGGCATTTCCTGAGTGACAGCTGTTGGAGAAAGAGGAAGAGGAAGAACTTATCTTACTCAAGGTAAGCATTTTAGCACTAAAGAAAACCTGTACAAACATATGAAAGAATAGAGAAATAGCATCCTTTGCAGGGGGGATTAACAATTCTGTTCTGAACATTATCATTTTAAATGTCATTTTATATGTTAATTAAGTATCCACATATATAAACTTGGTGTTTCTGGAGCAGATGATAAGTTTTGTAATATAGAAGATATGATCACCATGGAGATGGATCATAAATTGTTTTCACAATTTAAGATAAAATTTAAAATTTAAGATAAAAACAACAGTCAAGTTCTACCAATTTGGTCAAACTCTCAAGGGGTTTTCTGCATAAATCTGTCAAATTCTAACTAATGGCCTGCTCTTGCAATGTGCTACCATGGAGGGGGTGGGAAGTGTTTGGTCAGTATTCATTTTATTCTTACATCAGTGTCATGGTTCTCTAGGTCAGAGAACACACCGGAGCCATCATCACCAGAGATGCCTAACGCACTAGCAACACTGGTACCCAGAACACCATCAACAGAGACTGCGAATTTAATGAGACATCGTCGCCAGACAGAGACATAATTGGTTGTATGCGATTTTTCCCATCACTACATCTTTAAATTTAAGAAGTTTCAAAAATTTGAACATGCATTTGCTAGCAGCAATTATGTTAGAAATAAGTGGAGACAAGAAATTGTCTCAAGTAAGGTTTTATTTATGTTAATGTCTTTACATTTTGAAGTTAAAATTAGATTTAACTGATATATAATAATTATAGATATTTATGGAGTATCATGTATATTTTGATAGCAAGTTAAACATATCTGTTTACTCACACATTTATCATTTCTTTGTGCCTAAAACTTTTCAAATCTTTCCCGTAAGGTTTTAAAAATATACAGCACATAGACATTATCTATAATTACCTGACTGTGCAGTAGCACAAAAAAGTCTTACTTTTGTCTAACTATGACTTAGTTTAGATCACTCTTTCTTCATCCATCCTACTCTTTACCAACTCAGTCTCTAATCACTACCATTCTACTCTCAACTCTATGACATGAATTCTGTATTCCTTCTCTTCATCAAATCACTTACTACTTGACTTTTAGTACCTGGAATTTTTATGGGGGGGCTTGGTATAGATGAACCCCAAGTTCCATGCACATTGTTACAAATGACAGAATTTCCTTTTATGGCCAAATAATACTTGCACAGCTGTGTGTATCACGTTTTCTTCCTCTGCTCATCACCTTTAGTCTTCATCTGTTGTGAATAGTGCTACAAAAAATGTGGAAGTCCAGAAGTTTCCTCAATATTTCAACATATTGATTCCTTTTCCTTTTAAGATATATAGATATAGAGATAGATAGATAGATAGATAGATAGATAGATAGATAGATAGATAGATACCCAATAATAGGATAGCCTGATTGTACAGTAGTTTTATTTTTAAGTTTTTGAGACTCTTTCATGATGTTTTAAGTAGTGGCCATATTAATTTATATTTCACCTACAGTATGTGAAGATTCTCTTCTCCAAATGCATACATCATTTTTCTTCAGTGTCTTAAATAATAGATATTCCTATGGGGTAAGCTGCTACCTTTTGGTGGTTTTGATTGCATTTCCATGATGATTAATGATATTAAACATTTTTTCATGTCCCATTAAATGCCATTCTGTATGCCTTCCTTGAGAAATGCCTATTTAAGTTTATTGCCCATAAAATCAAGTAAGTTTTATTGAGTTCTTAAGTTCCTTGTATGTCTTTAAATATCAAAGCCTTGTCAGATGTGGCCTTTGCAAATATTTTCTTCTTTTCTGAAGATAGTCTTTTATGTTATTGGCAACTATTTTCCTTGCTGACCAGAAATGTTTTAGTATCATGTAATCATCCAGTTGTCTGATTTTGTTGTCTGAGCTTTTGGGATCTTGTCTGAACTGTCCTTATTGATTCCACTTTCCTGAGCATTTTTTCCCAAAATTTGTTTTAGTGGTTTTATAATTCTATATTTATAGAGTTTTATATTTGATATTTATATTTAATACTCACAATTCTATATTTATAGAATTTGATATTTATATTTAACATATGTTTGAAAGCTATATAATGCAATATATTGTATAAGTTTTCAAATACAGTATTTGAATCTTCCCTCTAATTGTATTTGATTTTTGCAGTTCCTGTGAGAGACAGCTCTTGTTTCATCCTCTTGCATATGGATTATACAATCTCCCAAACACCATCCATCAGCAACACTGTCTTTTCCAAGTACTTCTGTGCTTGTGTGTGTGTGTGTGTGTGTTCTTAACACCTTTATTGAAAATTAGTTCTCTGTACATGTGTGGGTTTATCACAGAGTCTCTATTCTGTTCTGTTGGTCTTTGTGTCTGTGTTTTGCAAATACCATGCTGTTTTGAGTCCCTGCAGCTGCATGGTATATTCTGAATTCAGGAGGTCTTCAGGATTCTTTTGCTATTTCGGTGTAGGATTGCACTGAAATCATATGAACTCTTTGGATCACTTTGAATAGTGCAGATATTTTTGATGATTTGAATTCCCCTAGTCTTTGAGTATACAATGACTTTTGAGTCTGTGTGTCTTCTTCGATTTCTTTGTCTGATGTTTTGTGACTTTTTTTTCACTGTGGAGACCTTTGGGAGGCTAATAGCCATTTTGGTGTAATTTTTCTCACCTAACTTTTGTTATACATTTCTTCAAGTGAGTTCCCCTAAGAAAAGCTGAGTGTTTCCTCCACATGTGAGTTGTGTAAGTTTCCCTGAGCTAATGGCCTAGTTCTTTTCATTTGTTTGCTGTCATGAAAAATACCTTGTTTAGAGTGAAATCTTGGTGGCTGTCAGTGGTGAGTAAAATTCCTGGGTATTGTAATATGCTTGTGTTTGGAATGATTCTCAATCTTTATAGAGTCGAGCTGGCTTGTTTTGTGTCACCTTTTCTTTATTGGATATTTTATGTATTTACATTTCAAATGTTATCCCCTTTCCCAGTTTTCCCTCCATTACCTCCCTATCCCATCCCCGTCTTCCTCCTCCCTGCTTTTATGATGGTGTTCTCCCACCCACTCACCCACTCCTGCCTCCCTGACCTGGAATTCCTCTACACTTGGGAATTGAGCCTTCACAGAACCAAAGGCCTCTCCCCCTACTGATGCTAGACAATGCCATCCTCTGCTACATATGCAGTTGGAGCCATGGGTCCCTCCATGTATACTCTTTGGGTGGTAGTTTAGTCTCTGGGAGCTCTGGGAGGTATGATTGGTTGATTTGTTGTTCTTCCTATGGGGTTGCAAACCCCTTCAGCTCCTTCAGTCCTTCCCCTAACTCCTCCATTGTAGTCCCCATGCTCAGTCCAATGGTTGGCTGTGAGCCTCAATTGAGAAAATGCCTCAATAAGATTGGGCTGTAGGCAAGCCTATTGATTATTTTCTTTGTTAGTGATTGATGTAGGAGGGCCCATCGCTATGCTGGTGTTCCTAGGTACTATAAGAAAGCAGGTTGAGCATGCCATAAATAGCAACCCAATAATAAGCACCCTTCCATGTTGTCTGTATCAGTTCCTGTCTCCATGTTCCTATCCTGTTGAGTTCCTGTCCTGACTTCCTTTGATGATGAACAGTAATCCAAGTATAAGCCAAATAAACACTATCTTCCTCAACTTGCTTTTTGTCATAGTGCTTCATTGAAGAAACAGAAACCCTAACTAAGACAAGTTGATGCCAACTTAGATTATAGGCTATCTCTGTGTCAAACCTGACCATGTTGTTTGGGGGAGGATTGTGGAAGAACTTTGGAACTTTGTGCAAAAAAAGCCTTTGAGTGTTCATCTAATGCTTGGTGAGTTTTTCTGTAGGCTCATGGAAGATCAGAATGTTAAGGGCACACAATTGGAGTGGGGACTGCCACTGAATCTGTTGCTAGCCTGTAACTCTCATTCCTCTAACCAAGTAGTCTTGTCTGGCCTCAGTGAAAGACGATGCATCACTGAGGACAAATCTTCTGGGAAGGGTTCTACATGAGTCAGCACACAGAAGTTGTGTTTCAGTAGTGGCCAAGGTTATAGCTGGTGGTGCCAACTGAATTTGGTAGTGTAAGAGTGAGTCGCCCAGGTGGTACTGGTTTTGAAGGCATGAAGGGATCATGGAGAGCAGCAGAGGCTTGGCATCGTGAGAGGTCAGGGAAGGACTTTGAAGATGCAGAATTGAAAGGGTCATTTGGAGAAGTGGGTGCTTGTTTTGTCACCATGAGGAGAACCAAGGAGAAGCTATTGGTGAAAGTGCAGCCCGACTGCAGCAGAAGACCCTAGAATTATGGAGATGTAAGAAGCATGAGATGTACATCAAGAACAGCAGAAGAGAGAAGCCAGGAGGGAACCTAGAATACAATCTGTGGGTGCTGAAGAGAGTAAAGCCAGAGAAGTGACCCAAGGCCTCAAGGTATGAATAAATTGATAATATTGGACATTGAGTTGTTTATACTGTTGGAGTCCAGTTTTGCTTAGTTCAGATTATGACTGTACCCTGGGTCTTCCCTCTTAAAATAAGAAAGTACTTCATTGTTTTGTTTCATTTTTTTTTATTTTATTTTACAGGAACATACAATTGAGAGATTGCATTTAAAAGAGACTTCAGTTTTAAGAGACTTTGGATTTTCTTAAAGAGACCGAATATTAACATGTTTGAATTTGTAAAGATTTTGAGACTTTTAAAGCCATTTGAGTATTTAATGTGAGATCTTGGATGAATAAGAAAGAAAAGGTTGTGGCATAATAGTGATATAGTTGTGGGTTAAGTTGACAAGGGTTTAGTTGTGCTTGCTAGGTTTATATCAACTAACCAGAAGAGGGCATCAGACCCCATTAGAAATGGATGTGAGCCACTATGTGGTTTCCTGGGAATTGAATTTAGTTAGTAATTGATGTGGGTGGGCCCAGGCCTTTGTAGCAGATGGTCCTGGGTTCAATAAGAGTAGACTGAGCAAGCCATGAAGAGCTAGCCAGTAAGCAGACTCATCCATGGCCTCTTCATTAGCACCTTCCTCCAGGTTCTGTTTCTGCTTCAATTCCTGTCCTGACTTTCTTTGATGATGAATAGTCATGTGAAGTATAATGCAAAGAAACACTTTCTTCCCCAACTTTTTGTCATGGTGTTTCATCACAGCAGAGAGACCTGAAATGAGACAAAATTCAAAGTCTTGATAGATTCTGATAGTTCTCCATGCACAGGCTCATCTCTCACAAATAATACAGGATTTCTGAATATAAACATAATATTTAAGTATATCATTAATGCTAGCTATTTAAGAATATTATTGGAAATGAGAAATGTCTTCTTATTCTGATTTTTTAGTTTATCATGAAAAGGTGACTGATGTCTGAGCAAATGAGATTCTAAGTAAACTGCTTATCTTGAAAGCATAATGACTTGAGTTCCAACCCCAGAACCCATATAACAATGTCAGGCATTCTGGTGTATGCTTGTATTCCCAGTGTGTGCTGGAGAGGTAGAGACAAGATTCCAACATATACTAAAGACCAGTTGAGGAATCCAGCTTTGTGGAGTG